TGGCAAAATGTTTTCTATTAAAGCATATGACAGGTGACAAGTATCTACATAAATTTAGACCTGGCTCGTTGCCGGTTCGTTTCAGCGAATTGTAATTCGCCACCTGCTATCCACCTTCTTTTCGTGTAGAAAACGCATAGCGGAACAAAATAAACGAGCGAACGAATCGAAATGTAGAGTGTGGTCTTCAATAAATACGAAGTTGAGTAAGTCGCCGATAGCGTAAATGAATGGCTGAATATAAAAGCGAATGTCAAGTTGGTTCCAATTACTTGTTCTCATAGTAGAAATAGCTAAACTCGTTTTACGGAAAAGCCTTTTTGCTGGTACATTTAAACCAGTCAAATTATTGAATAGTAGAAATTCGAATTAATGGTGCAAAAAAGGCATCGAATACATTCAAACCTATCATGTCGCTGCTTGCACTAGCTTTGAAAAGGTGTTACCCGGGTACCTTTCAAAGTTATATTCACACGATAGTTGAATCCATCTTTCACGTATTGGCCTGTTTGAGCTTCACGATAGCAACGATAGTAATTAATTTAACCGGAACACCAAATGTATATGTATGAACATTTGGCTTTCATTGAAAATCTTACTCGTTCGCTATGAGAGCATTGTTGTTGTTCGTTTAACCAGGCTAACATGTACAAAGACTGTTACTTTGTAGCCCATTCTTGGCGGACATGTTAGCTAGCCTCAACAACACAGGTTTTAACAGGCCTTCTTTATGAAATTAATGATGCCGAAAAGCTTTTTTAAAAAGGGTTGAAATATTTAAAAAAAAAAAAGCAAAGAACACATAAAGCATGTTCAGAAAATACTGTATTTCGAAAATTATTAAGGCATGTCATTTAATTCACACACTAGCAACTGAGAGTTGAGTGAGAGAAAAATGAGGAATAGGAACACGTAAAAAACAGACTTGCCTCGTTGTTTTTTAATGTTTGTTTGAGAATGCATAAGGGATTACACCCCCTGAATAATTAAACTATGATTTTTCTGTAGCCTGTTCATACTTTCCTTATTTCTACATCACATATGGATTATTTCAGAATCTTGGGTAGAACAATCATGTTACCATTGTATTCTACAAAACTGGGCATTGCTTCAATTTTTTGTTGAAGCGTAAAAAAATACGAACGCCGATTTCGTTATCCAATTCTTTTTATTGAATCAATATCTAACTTTTAGCATAGATGTGTGTTGTTTTATTTTTGCTTCCTAAGCTCAACATAATTACCTCTAAAATCTTTTATTCTACCGCTCTTATTTATCAGTATTTACGTCCTGCAGTAACCCCCATATAAGTACTCTGGACCTTCGAATATACTTTGGGGGTTAAATTGAAAAATAAACGCTTCTCGCATTCAGCGATTACATCGTTGTGTCATAAAAAAAGGTGTATTGATTTTTCCCTGAAACTTTGGCAGTCACCAATTAAACTGTTTTTACCGATCAGCCATTTTGTGTTATCAATGAGTAATCGGCGCTGAATACATCACCGAACTCTGATGTGTGCATGATAATGTAACTTGCGCCGACCTTCGTATCAACCGCTCGTTCTGTATTTTCGAGCCTTGTATTTTAATTGATTTCTTACATCGTAACCAGCCCGTTATCCTCGGCGATGTGTACATTATCCGCGACAAATATCCCCTTTTCAACCGGAGCTGGCGGGAATGCTGCTATGAAAATCTGGACTAAGAGTACGATATTAATGCGCATATACTGCAATACTTAGGGGCTAATAACATCAATACTAACTATTGCTTAGATTGCGCTCAAATACAGCCGTAGGACTGCATGCCTCAAGCGGCTGACAGGTGCAAAAAATCGTTACGGTAAGACCTTGTTTTTGGCCGATTTTTCAAGCGACCTAAATCTTGTGAGCATCCAACAACGTTTTGTAATAGAGGGCGCTTTCAGACATGTGTTTTGGGCGAATCAACCTTAAAAATACCAATGTATACTCGAAGGCGCACGTTCTAATAAGGACAGTAATGCTTAACTTCCAAAGGCATCTAACAACTTTTGTCGACGACGGGGTGTTTATTCAATCTG